CATGTATTCAAACCACGTTCACTGCATAATGAATTTTATCTTTTTTTTTTCTGCGTATTTTTTCTGTTTGAGTTCCTCGCGAGAGAATACAAAATTTTGTAAGGGAGTACATGAGCAATCTAGCATAATATTTCGGAGCATATTAAATATTTTTTAAAAAAAAATTTATTTACATTTTTATTAGGAGGTAAGTATTTATGCAGATTAACAGTAAAGCTCTTAAATTATTTTAATTAAAATCAGAAAAATATATTTTAAATTTAACTAATAAAATTTTAAATCAATATTTTATCTTAAATTTTTCGGATGATATTTTAATAAAATTTTAACAAGTACTACTAACAATTATCTAAATTTTATAAAGTGGGGACAGTTCAATTTGGAGAGCGTCAGAGTGAAGATCTGAAGGTTATTTGTTTAATTCACGTTCACTGCATTATGAATTTTATTTTTTTTCTCCGCGCATTTTTCTGTTCGAGTTTTCTGTGGTAGAACACGAAATTTTGGGAGGGAGTCCATCAGTAATCTAATGTTATATTTCAGAGCAAATTAAATATTTTTTTTAAAATTTATTTATATTTTTATTAGAAGGTAAAAATTTATCCTAAGTAACAGTGAAGCTCTTAAATTATTTCAAGTAAAATGAAAAATATATATTTTAAATTTGATAAAATTAATAAAATTTTAAATCAATATTTTATCTTAAATTTTTAGAATAATATTTTAATTAAATTTTAACGGTTACTATTAAAAAATATCTAAATTTTACAAAGCGAGAATAACTCAGTTGAGAGAGCGTCAAACTGAATATTTGAAGGTCATGTGTTTGATCCACGTTTACCGCATCACAAATTTTATCTTTTTTTCTCCGTGCATTTTTCTATTCGAGTTCCCCGCAGTAGAACATAAAATTTTGTAAAGGAGTCTGTCAACAATCTAATCTTATGTTTAAGAGCATATTAAATATTTTTTAAAAATTTTATTTAAAAATTTATTTGTGTTTTTATTAGAAGATAAGAATTAATTCAAATTAATAGTGAAACTCTTAAATTATTTTAACTAAAATCAGAAAAATATATTTCAAATTTGATAAAATAAATAAAATTTTAAATCAATATTTCATATTAAATTTTTCAGAGATCATTTATGATATTTTATTAAAATTTTTAACGGGTACTACTAAAAAATATCTAATATTCTTGATAAAATTTCATAATTCGCAATTTTTTCAACAAATAAAAATAGAATATGCAAATTGCGTAGGAGGCCGAGAGAAGAAGACAACATCTACATTAATGTTCAAAATTTATAATCCTTCTAAGATAAAAATTTCATCACAAGTTTAGGCGACCAATCCATCTAAAGCCCAAGAGCAATTTAGACAAAGAAAGATTATTAAGTGATATTTTTTCAAAATGTACATTGAGTTTTTTTTTTTTTTAAAACCAAAATAACCATTAAATATCTCTACCTTATTGTATTTTTATTTAACTTATATATTCTAATTATTTGATATATAGAAATTAATTTATGCATTGGATACATCATTAGATCAAATTTATAAATATATTTTTATTCTTATGTTATAAGCTCCACTACCTGGTAGTTGGTACCTGTTTAAGTGCACAAACACGCACTAGGTAGAGTGATTTAACTCACTCTATTTATTTATACAAGCACACCCACGTATGATCCTCTTTACATGATAATTACGTTAAAGATTTCTACGTATTGGAAGTGAAGTCAAGAGTAAACAATTTTGTGCGTGTGTATATATACAGACAAACACTGAATATGCAATTTTAGGAGGTGCTAGAAGCAATTTGGAATTGATTCAAGAGTGAAACATTGTGCGTGCGTGCGTGCGTGCGTGCGTGCGTGCGTGCGTGTGTATAAATATATGTTAATGTCTACCTACTAAAATCATAATATATATAATAGATATTATCATATGTCAAAAAATTAAAAAAGGAAATAACAAAGCCACTGGATTCAAATTAGAATCTGAATCACACTCCACCAGCAGGTAAACAATTTTTCTTTATATTCAATTTAAAGAATTATATAAGTTTTTTTTTTTTTTTTTTGGTTAAACTTTAAAAATACTTCTATCATGCTAAATATAAATACTTTTATCAAAGTAAATGTCTGCCAAACTTGAAAATACACCTATAATGCTAGATTTAGATATTGGTTGATTTATCACGCTGCTTAAAATGTTGCCTTCATTCCACAAAAGCAACAAAGTAGAGAGCTTGTTTAAGCATTTTCACAGTATATACATTCTTATGTTCTGTGAGTAATAGGATATAACAAGGATATCACAAAATATATACATTTTTTGACACTGTAAAGACATTTCAATCGTATACGGATGCATAATGATCATCATTACCAAGATTCAACATGTCCTTTCTCTAACCAATTACTGAAAGGAGAAGCACTTACAGTCCAAAACTCTTCTCTTCCTCCCTGATGCAATGTCTCCAAGCTCTCATCAGTACTGTCATCGAAATGATACTCGAGACCTGCATCTTCAGAGTCAAATATATTCTCAAGATCAACATTGTGATCATCATTAATAAAGTCATTAAAATTGTCATCAACAGCATCATCGTGATTGTTGTTATCATTGGAAATGTTGACGTTGTCGTCGTTGTTAATGATGCACTTCCTTCGCTCACGTCTCATCCGCTTCCCTTCCCTAACCAACCCAATCAGCTTTTCTTTTATTATCAGGATCTCATCTTTCTCTAGAAGCTCACCTTTGTCGTCAAATGCTTCCACCAAGAGAACAGAGTCCCTCATGCCTTTCAGACTCACA